CGCTCTTAAAATAGCTGGTAAATCTTGCCATTCATAACTGGCAAACTTAACAAAATAAGTAATTATTGTATTTAACTTAAAAATTACATTTCTTTCAAAAAATTACCATAGTTAACATTCAATCCTTTGCCAAAACAGCCTGCAAAGTCTTACATAGGAGATAATGCACTGCTCCTGATAGCTCTGGATGCAACTGAGCATGAGTGAATTTTCAGTGAAATGTGCTATAAGGAGATAATTTCAGAAAATAACTTTCAAAAATATAACTGCTAGTGTTCAAAAATAGCTAGGAATCGGAAAACATACAGGTTCCTGTGCTGCTTCATCTTTCATTAGGTCTTCATAAACCTCCCCACCTTCATCTTCTCCATAACATGATAGCTCTGGATGCAACTGAGCATGAGTGAATTTTCAGTGAAATGTGCTATAAGGAGATAATTTCAGAAAATAACTTTCAAAAATATAACTGCTAGTGTTCAAAAATAGCTAGGAATCGGAAAACATACAGGTTCCTGTGCTGCTTCATCTTTCATTAGGTCTTCATAAACCTCCCCACCTTCATCTTCTCCATAGACGCAATCATACAACTCCTCATCTTCATCAACACCAGTTTCACTGGAAGGAAAAGATAAGAAAAAAAGCTGTGCAGCACAGGCAAATTACCATCAGCTCTGCAAAGGACCACTCCTCATAGGAAAAGATTCCTACGGTAAACAAACAGATTAATTAATAGAACCATCCAATGAAAATAACTCATTAAGGGAAATGAAGTCTATCAAGTTTCTCTCCTCAATGCATTTAAAACATGATTGTATGAAATCAACACCTCACTGAAAACTGCATGAATTTAGAACCACACAGGAACTAAACCAGATACCAAAAGCAGCTTGTCAAGACAGTTTTGTTATGAGTACTGTCCAGCTGTTCTCTTGTCTTCATCCCTTTTCCCACCACATCCAGTGAAGAGGAGCTGCCTCTCCTTACTGCCTGGCATCCCACTGCACTGGGATGACAGACACTGGTACACATCTCCTTCCTGCCTTAAAGGAAGGAGTATCTGGGGTAAAATACACTAAAGACCACAGTGCCAGCAGCTGACAATCTGTACCTCCACACCATAAGCCAGTATCTTGATCACCTCATGGCAAGCTTCAGCTACCCAAAAATGAAAAAAGTAACCTTTCAAACTGAAAATCAGATAGTTCAATGAAATAGAGTATGCACAAGAAGTGTCCTCCTATTACCCAAGACTACAGAAATACCTCAGCATAAAGTCATTGCTCAACTCTACACTCAGCTAATCCAGCTTCATTAGAGTCAGTCCTGCTGGAGTTTTGCCTATTTTGCATTAGGACCATATCACACCCAGAATATCTCTTCCATTCACATTTCTTAGGGTACGTCTACAAAAGAACTCTAAAAGATATCAAAAGTAGTCCAGTCATAATAATACAGTAACTTGATCAGATGTACTGATAATTTTGAGATGTTTACTGTTGGAAGACAACACTGAAATCCTTCAGAGTAAAAACCAAATTGAGGATCAGTCCACTAGAACTAGGAAGTACAACCATTTCTTCTAAGTGGATCATCAGTACTCAAGAATAGGACGTCAGAAGCTCTACTAGCTGAGACTAATGATTTCAAAGAAATCAAAATAAAGAAAAATTGCTACCAACACAGCTGCCACATGGGCTACTTGGAAATGCCAGACAAAAATCACTATACAGTCAGGACTATATACAGAAACCAAGTGAATTTTTATTTCTCATTAAATGTTTTGTTTGTTTTGTTTTAAATCGAGGACATCAGAAGGATAAAGTAAGTAAGCATTAGAAGTTTCAGTAGATGGAATGACTGAAAAAAAAAAAAAAGCATTTGGGGGATTCAACAGAGGACAGAAATTGCTCCCATCCCTTCCTTTTCCAACAGATATCATGCCCCAAGAGAGCTAGAAAGCTCAGGTGCTCCAGGTTAGTCTAACATTTCAGCTTGCACCAGTGATGATGGTGTGCTAGCATTTCACATTAAACACTAGCAGCTGTGTCAGATGCAGCACACACTCCACTTTACCACCTGTGCTCCAGGGAACAAAAGCTGGCAAAAGGACAGAGCAAGGATAGAAACATTTTACTCCCACAGCTCTTTCTGACAGAAAGCCTTAAATTCATTTTAAATTCTTTAGACACCATTTAAACTCAGGGACAATTAAATTTAGTTAAATACACTTACCAATTAAGAGAAACTAAAAAATGTGGGCTATTTGCAGCATTCAGTGGCACTTTTGTTTCTTATGAAGAGAGTACTTCCTGAGTTGCTTCCTCCACAATTGAGACAGCATGTAACTATCAAATTTCAGTGAATATTTGTAATTTTGTATGATTTGTTAACTTATTTTAAATAAAATACTGTCTCCTAGTACTGAATTTGTATATCTATTTAAGAACTGACAGAAATATTCTTTTCAAACAGTGCTAATGCCACCACATCTAAGAGATGAGGACATCACCTCTATCCCACTTGGGCCTCAGAGGAGTCTGCAATTCCTATCTTCTGCATGTTCAGCTACACAGAGTGAAAAGCAGCTATCTGTGAGATAGCCAGTGAGCTTCAGGAGACAAGGACAAGCTTTGCAGGAAAGGTGATAAACTGAGCAATCCCAGCCATGGTGGCATTTTCCTTTTTCATAGGCAATAAAGAAACAAATCCACGGTGTGAACAGCAGCTGCTTCACCTCATCGCAGCAAGCCAGATGGCCAGAGCCAAGATAGAGCCAGATGAGCGCTAGTGAACTTTGAGCTTTGGGACAGTGAGCTCTGATCCTAGCTCTCGTCCAACGTAATTCCTAATGGATCTTGAGAGATCCTAGCTATAGGAATATGAGAGTAGCTCTTCCTGAGAATTTTTTATGCCGAGATTTATTTATCTCACCAGTCTGCAAAATAAAGCTGCAGTCTACCATTCAATACTGTACAGTATGTTCATGTCCATCTTATTTGTACCTCAAAGCTAATGTGAAAATTGGCAATAATTAATGATCCTGCAAACACTTACTTAGAGAGGTAAATGCACTCATACAAATTTCATTGACTTTAGGGAAATGACCCACTTGAATTACGATCTAAACATGCATTTTCCTTGCAAGTTCAAGACAACTTCCTTGGGTTCCTTACAACTGATATTGTACTTCTATGAAAGCATTTTCATAGTACAGACAGATAATTTAAAAATGCATTCATGATTTACTTTGCTACCAGTGCCCTCTATGAAACATGCTTCCTTACATAAATGTATTACAGTCATTCAGATAAGCTTTCATAATTAATTCTTCCTGGTCAGCATAATGGCTAACAAAATCTTTTTAAATCAAATAACTATCCCATTCTCATTAAAACTATGTGTTCTATAATATATATATATCATATAAATTATAGCATGCAACTGAAAACCAAAATCTTTAATTTAACTAAAGATTTATAACATACTCTATTAAATCAGGAAGACCTTTGTAGACATCTTCATCATCAACACTTTCTTCTGTAGGGAAGGGCC